AGAGAGAGAGAGAGAGAGAGAGAGAGAGAGAGAGAGAGAGAGTAATGAGGCCAAAGGAGAAGGGGAGGGGGGTGGGTTTGGGTGGGGGGTGTTGCTAAATCATTATCAAAGTGGAAAAGGATAACGTAGAGAAGAGAACCACCCGTGCAAAAGTAGTTAAATAAAGGGGGGAAGAATTTAGAGCAGCGTCACTGTCACATACACGAACACGAGGAATGGGGGGCCATGAAAAACGGATCAAGGTTTCTTCAATATAATTTTTTTTTTGATTTTTTTTAACGGATTATTTTCATGCATTTAAATAGGACTCATTAAATATAAGTAATTTTTTCACTCNTTGATTTTGAATATAAATACAAATATGTTTATTGTTTATCATTTTTTATTACTCTGTACCTTCAGATACAGGCAATAACTAGTATATCTATATAATAAAACAATAGTGTGTTTGAATTTTATCCCATTCATATTTTCTTCCTCAAAACCATTACAAATCATTTACATCACCTATCATCTCTTTGTCAAACTCAAATGTCAAATCGTNTTATTAAAGATAAATAATTTGATAAAAAAATAATAAAAAGTATATATTAAAAAAATCTAAAACCCATCGAACAACACGGATAATCTGCCCACGTGCACAGCTTCACAAAAAGAGTTCCCATGTAATAAAGTAACACTATAAAAAGAGTAAACGAGGTGATTAGTCCAGCATGCCCCTCACAATCACTCAAATTTGCATAATAAGTCGACTAGCCAATGGAAGATTATGCATATAAATCTGAAAGAACAAAGATTCATGATTGTTAATTCCCCTCATGCTTAGACTATAACCCGCCGGATGATTTGAATTCAAAATTTAACAATTTTTTTAAGTCAGGTCATAAAAAATTTATTTTTCATCAATATTATAATTATTATGTGAATGATCTGTTTTTGATTGAAAATCAAAGAGGAGATAAGTTGAGGTATGCGTAAATTGATCCTGCCATCTTTGATTGTTAAAAAAAAACAAAAAAACACGACCCGTGGTGGGTTCAGGCAAAATAACCCGAGGCTAGGTTACTTATTAGTTTTGTTAATTTGCTGGAGATTGATTATTTCTTAATTTTGTTTAAGTGACAATAATAGGAAAATGAAAACACTTTGTACTAAGACCCTCTCCTATTATTACAAAACATTAGTTCGATTAGTTAACACGGTGTGATAGCTATCAGTGATTATTTTTATCGCCCACATGATTTAACGCATCGAACAACTTATAAAAATAATTGGGATTTTATACAACTGATAATTGGGTTGTGTTATACACAAATTTTGTAATTGCTTCAATTCATATATGACCCCAACTTGTATGGTTTAACAGCAATTGACATTTATGAATGTCGACAAACGGATTGAATCGTATTGAGTTCACATTACATTTAAATTATGCCATATCAAATTTGATCTTCTTATTTCATCCACCACTGAGCTCATACATGACCCAACTCATATATGCCTTACAAGCAAGTTCACATTAGAGGTAAAGTCGACAACGGCTCGTGTCATGTTATATTTGCGTGTTTAAAGTTTGTTCAAGTTATATATAATTTATTTGTAAATCTATATCAATAAATTATATTTTATCAAGTTGGGATACGTACAAGTTACGATCGGATTTTTGTCATGTGGAGAAGTATTGGCATAATTTTTTTTTTAATTGAATCAAACAAATTAATCCCTACATAGTTAAAAGCATAGTGATTACATGTTAACTTATTGAATTATATGAAAAATTGTCAATCTTAATTTCATGGCCTACGCATCCCAAACGAGTTAATAGGATCACAATAGTCACGTGACACAAGTAAATTTTCAACGACGTACNATTTTCATGCATTTAAATAGGACTCATTAAATATAAGTAATTTTTTCACTTATTAAAGATAAATAATTTGATAAAAAAATAATAAAAAGTATATATTAAAAAAATCTAAAACCCATCGAACAACACGGATAATCTGCCCACGTGCACAGCTTCACAAAAAGAGTTCCCATGTAATAAAGTAACACTATAAAAAGAGTAAACGAGGTGATTAGTCCAGCATGCCCCTCACAATCACTCAAATTTGCATAATAAGTCGACTAGCCAATGGAAGATTATGCATATAAATCTGAAAGAACAAAGATTCATGATTGTTAATTCCCTTCATGCTTAGACTATAACCCGCCGGATGATGTGAATTCAAAATTTAACAATTTTTTTAAGTCAGGTCATAAAAGATTTATTTTTCATCAATATTATAATTATTATGTGAATGACCTGTTTTTGATTGAAAATCAAAGAGGAGATAAGTTGAGGTATGCGTAAATTGATCCTGCCATCTTTGATTGTTAAAAAAAAACAAAAAAACACGACCCGTGGTGGGTTCAGGCAAAATAACCCGAGGCTAGGTTACTTATTAGTTTTGTTAATTTGCTGGAGATTGATTATTTCTTAATTTTGTTTAAGTGCCAATAATAGGAAAATGAAAACACTTTGTACTAAGACCCTCTCCTATTATTACAAAACATTAGTTCGATTAGTTAACATGGTGTGATAGCTATCAGTGATTATTTTTATCTCCCACATGATTTAACACATCGAACAACTTATAAAAATAATTAGGATTTTATACAACTGGTAATTGGGTTGTGTTATACACAAATTTTGCAATTGCTTCAATTCATATATGACCCCAACTTGTATGGTTTAACAGCAATTGACATTTATGAATGTTGACAAACGGATTGAATCGTATTGAGTTCACATTACATTTAAATTATGCCATATCAAATTTGATCTTCTTATTTCATCCACCACTGAGCTCATACATGACCCAACTCATATATGCCTTACAAGCAAGTTCACATTAGAGGTAAAGTCGACAACGGCTCGTGTCATGTTATATTTGCGTGTTTAAATTTTGTTCAAGTTATATATAATTTATTTGTAAATCTATATCAATAAATTATATTTTATCAAGTTGGGATACGTACAAGTTACGATCGGATTTTTGTCATGTGGAGAAGTATTCGCATAATATTTTTTTTTAATTGAATCAAACAAATTAATCCCGACGTAGTTAAAATCATAGTGATTACATGTTAACTTATTGAATTATATGAAAAATTGTCAATCTTAATTTCATGGCCTACACATCCCAAGCGAGTTAATAGGATCACAATAGTCACGTGACACAAGTACATATTCAACGACGTACGTTAAATCAGTGCCCCCACAACCACCTGGCCTCAGAACTGCCGTTAATAATAGCCAAGATATCGTGCGCCGCTGTAAACAGGGGCACACCCATAAATTCAAACCAAACCAGGGGGCAATCAAGTCAATTCAACTGACGCTTCATTCCAAACATTATCCACTAAACAACCATGCACACCTTAATTAAACAGAAAAAATCTACATTATTACACTTTCGGGACCCCATCTCCTACATAATTACAAAATAACAGCTAGAGTGTAGAGAGAGAGAGAGAATTTTGGTTTTTCTCTTTGTTGGTTCTTTTTCCTGTTCATTTATAACTCACCGCTTCTTCGTTTGTTTCTCTCTGCACTTATTTGTATGTTTCATGTGATCTTCTTTCCTCCAAATTGAGTACCCACATAACTAGCCGGAAAAAAGGCATCGTTTTCCGGGCACTTTTTGACTGTATTGCCGGAGTTTGCCGGAAAACGTTTAAGGTTGAAAGTAGTGGGTTTTCTTGATTGAGATTGAATATGAACGGTGGAAGTAACAGCATAGAGACTGTAAATGCTGCGGCGACTGCGATAGTTTCTGCTGAGACTCGAGTCCAACCAACAACAGTTCAGGTATACGTGTGTATAAACAGGAATATTTATGTGGGTGTATTCGTTTGATTGATTCTTTTTGGTGTTATTCTTGAATGAAAACTTTAGTTGTTGACTTAACAACTGTTTTTGGTTGAGTTAATGGAGTTTAAAGCTTGGAATAGGTGTTGCTTTTACACGATTTTGCTGATTTATGTATGTTCGTATCGTAAAGATTTTGTTTTGCATGTGTTTGATGTAATTTTCGTGCTAGTTGGGTGATTTTTGTTGAATCTGAAGGATGGTTGTTGTGCTTGGAGACAATATGCAGATTAAAAACTGTTTGGCGAAGCGGTTTGGGCACTTGGGTATAGTCCTTTGGGCTAGAACCAGAGGTTCTCACCAAAAGAGGCCTCAAAATTATGGTGACCCATTACCCACTAGGGACTTTTATTAGGATCAAGTTATACAGCATGAAAGGCTGATTAGATTACAAGTTTTATCGAGTTTGTAGGCCTCTGGGGGCTGTGTTCTTCCATGGCTGCAAAATAATTTTGTTAATAAATGTGATGAATCCTATTCAAAATCCTTGTTTGAAGTTACTATTGTAACGTCATATGCAAGCTAGATACTTGGCTATGTGTTAGATTGGTTGTAGGTAATAGTTATATTGGTCATTGATTTCAAAATAACGAGAATCAGGAGAAGGGTTGTGATTGGGGTGCATTGGAAATCATGACCAACATTGCACTTATATTATAGGATGTTTAGGCATGTAATGTTTATGGTAACTAGAAATGTTGAAGCTTAAGGAATCCACTAAAGATTGGTTTGCAGGTTTACTCGATATGTTTAAAAGATTCTATGATCAGGAAAACGGGTGGCCCCATGGCCCTGTTTCGTAAATGGAAGACTAAACTTTGCCACAAGCCTGGGGGATTCTATTACTTGTGTTGATGGACTTTGGTTTGGATTGGGCTAATTCCAGCCAAACAGTTCTACTGTCTCTGAAGGTCATCATTTTTTTGGGGTTTTTTTTTTTTTTGATTATAGGTTTGTTTAGCTTAAATCTTAACGGAAGACTAACAGTATCTTTGTTTACTGTTTGAGTAACCTCAATGATGTGTGTGGCTTGTTTCTCACTTGTTTGGTGTGTTTGTCTGATAGTTGAGAGCTTTTTGTGCTGAGCAAATCAATCATCAGCTCCCAAACTAAGATAAGTGTGTTCCCCGGGACCATTGAATGTTGAAGGGGAAGTTCCTTATTTGCATTGTAGTTCAATGCTTCCATTGCGGACTTTGCTTTCTGGAGTTTGTTCATGTTCATAAATTATTTATCTAGTCATCAGCAGAAGAAATGCTTGCCCTGATGGGCCTAGCAATTGTCTAGTTTATGGATTAAATCAAGGAATTCACCTGAGCCTATTTTGTGCTAGGTACTAACAGATACATGCAGCATAAAAAAGCAGCCTAATGTGTAACTTGTAGTCGCAAGTACAGATACATAGTATATTCTGTGAGCTTCTACTTGCTTTTAGTACTACTTTTTTCGCGGGAGGTCATCTCATTGCCTGGGTGATGTTTTCTGGCTATGCTTGGCTGTTTCTGTCTGACTGTCTCCCTTTTGAGATGGATGCAATCCAAGACTAATCACATTCTTTGATTTGAAATTTTAAGTGAATGTACGTCTAATCTTGCAACAATGATTGAGGTTGACCAGATAAGAAACCGGACCTAGTAACTCATAGTGCATTTTGTGTAATTGACTTCAGAAGAGAAGATGGGGAAGCTGCTGGAGTCTGTACTGGTGTTTTGGGTCTTATAAACAGAGCAAACGAATAGGTCATGCCGTCCTCGTTCCAGAACCTACACTGTCTGGTGTTGCAGGCCCTGCTGCTGAAAATCTCAATCACTCAACTACCATAGTAATACCCTTCATTGCCCCTCCCTCATCTCCTGCATCCTTCCTCCAATCTGATCCTCCCTCTGCTACCCAATCACCAGCTGGATTTCTGTCCCTCACTTCCCTTTCTGCCAGTGCCTACTCATCAGGTGGGACTGCCTCTATTTTTGCCATTGGTCCTTATGCTCATGAGACTCAGTTGGTCTCGCCACCAGTATTTTCTACTGTCACCACCGAACCATCCACTGCTTCTTTCACTCCTCCTCCTGAACCTGTGCAACAGACAACACCTTCATCACCTGAAGTGCCATTTGCTCAGCTTTTGTCATCATCGCTGGCCCGTGGTCGAAGAAATAGTGGGACCAGTCAGAAATTCTCACTGTCCCAGTACGACTTCCAGCCTTATCAGCCATACCCAGGCAGTCCAGGTAGTCACCTTATATCACCAGGCTCGGCAATTTCGAATTCTGGCACCTCTTCACCTTTCCCTGATAAACGCCCAATTGGATTTCGTGTGGGGGAAGCTCCCAAATTTATTGGCTACGAACACTTTACAACTCGTAAGTGGGGTTCGAGGCTAGGTTCAGGATCTTTAACACCTAGTGGTTGGGGTTCAAGGCTAGGTTCTGGAACGATAACACCAAATGGTTGGGGTTCAAGGTTAGGTTCTGGAACTTTGACACCAAATGGTGGAGAACTGGCCTCTCGAGACAGTATACTCCTAGAGAACCAAATTTCTGAAGTGGTATCACTTGCCAACTCAGACCATGGATCTCCGAATGAGGAAATTGTACTTACTCACCGTGTATCATTTGAGTTAACCGGTGGGGAGATTCCAAGTTGTCTGGAAAAGGCACCCAGCTTATCAGGTGGGACTGTATCAGCATCTATAGAGGATGCAGTAGCCAAAAGCACTGCTGAAGGAGATGTGATTTTGAGAAATGCAGAGAGTTGTAATGAATGTTGTGTTGGGGAAGTTTTGAATGAGATACCTGGGAAAGCTTTAGGAGAGGAGGATTGTCATCGTAAGCATCATCGCATCACTCTGGGTTCAAGCAAAGATTTCAATTTTGACAACACAAAGGGAGAAGTATCTGACAAATCCAACAGCGGCACTGAGTGGTGGACCAATGAAAAGATTGTTGGGAAAGAGTTCGAGCCCCAAAAGAAGTGGACTTTCTTCCCAATGCTGCAGNAAACGTCGTTTTGTGTGTTCGTTTCGAGGAAGAATACCTTTACTGTCCAGCTGATGATCTGTTCCCATAGAACAAATAGAAATTTGGGAATGGTCATTTATTGAATGGGTCCACCACGGTAATAGGGNAGCCAGGGGTCAGCTGATGTCATATAACCATTGCAAGAATTCCATAACCTCAATGCATGCAATGCAATTTGGATTTGCAAATCCGCTCATATAATCAGGTGAAACTGGGTTTAAAACAATTTTGGAGGTATCGATTCACAAGCTTGTAACGAGAGATGAATGTATGGATTGCTTGACATGGCTTTGAAATTGAAGAGCCATATGTGAAACCCACATCATGCGTATGGAAATAGTCTAGAGATCATTGAAGTTGAGTGTTGATTGAGTTTTTCTTTTTTAAATTCCTTTTCTGATGTATACAATAAATTGTATTCAGATACAGAAGTGTTGTGTATTCATCCTGTTCCCGTGAATTAGAAAGAGCAAAGCTGGAAGAAACACAACATTTTCAAATTAGAGATTTCTTATCTATGTTAACTGATCCAAATGATGCTAGATATTTTGTTCTTGTAATTTCCTCCTAATTTTACATTCTCCAGCCACTAGGATCTATGTGACTGTGACTATATGCTTAACAGTATGTGGATTTTGGAGAACTGTATTCTCCATGCACTTTGTTCTCCTCACGATGAGAAGAATTTAGCAAATAGAAACCAGTACACTCTATAAGTTCTTTATCCCTATTTATATATCAGAATGTTCAATTGTGTGATAACTGATCATCTGTTGTCAGCTGTGATATTGAATGGCTCAACTTGCTATCTGCCGGAAAGTTGCTGATTTTGGCGCGTTCTAGTTACTGCAGGTCAAGCATCGGTGGTGAAGGTAGTCCTCTTATCTCTCTTATTTACGGTTTTGTGGCAATCAGCTAAGGTATGAAGCCATGGGTTTGACACCTCTATACACTGTAGCTTGGAGATGTATACAAGATGCAACACAATCTTAAAAGAAGCAAGCCCATGGGGCTTTCGGAGTAAATAATGTAGAGACTACAAACTTGATGCTCCTAAATAACTGATCCAAAGGGAAGGTAGGTGGGATTTTCAATCAAGCATTGTTAAATACTCATGGAGGAGAACTTCGTCCAGTGTCTTACTATGTTCAGAAATCAATAGAACAAGAGTCCGGATCCTATGTTCAAAACGTCGTTTTGTGTGTTCGTTTCGAGGAAGAACACCTTTACTGTCCAGCTGATGATCTGTTCCCATAGAACAAATAGAAATTTGGGAATGGTCATTTATTGAATGGGTCCACCACGGTAATAGGGTCTATTTTGGGTTGCAATCAGTATAGTTGGAGCCAATACAGCTGCAACCAATCTGTCATTTTTCGTGTCCCAAACTCAGATGGTCCATCCCAAAGACCTTGAGCACAATGTGGGAACTGTGCCACGTAGCCCATTCGACATCAGTTTAACTTTTTTCATACGAATTATTATTAAACTATTAAATATTTCAAAAAATAGATTTATTACAGAGGACAAAGCACTTACGGAGGGGGTGAAGAGAAAATGAAACAGGGCGTATAAGGTTGTTAAATATGTTGGGTTAGGTCATTTTGTATCGAGTTGATTTCGAGATAATGTCAAAAGTCTCAAAACTCAAATTTGATATGTTTAATAATCATATTGAGATGTGTAAATAATAATCTGATCTGACTTTTAAATAGATTACCCAAGTCCAACCTGTTTGACAAGTTTAATAAACAAATCGTTTTCAGGTTAACACACATAACATGATCTGTTTAACTTATTGAGCACATATAATACAAACTTATTTAAAACACATAACATATTTTCATATCAGTTCATTATCATTAAATACATCATTCAATTATTCATCCAAAATTTTAAATAATTTTTTTACAAATAACATATCACATCTCATCAGTGAAATTATTGCCAATTATCATAGTAAGAAGTAAGAACTAATATAAGTAATAACATAATAGGNTAATAAACAAATCGTTTTCAGGTTAACACACATAACATGATCTGTTTAACTTATTGAACACATATAATACAAACTTATTTAAAACACATAACATATTTCCATATCAGTTCATTATCATTAAATACATCATTCAATTATTCATCTAAAATTTTAAATAATTTTTTTACAAATAACATATCACATCTCATCACTGAAATTATTGCCAATTATCATAGTAGAAGTAAGAACTAATATAAGTAATAACATAATAGACAAACTATACTGCCATAAAATGGGTTAAACAGGTCTACAATGGATTAAGTCGGATTCTTGTCCGAATCATGTCAACCCATTTAAAATATACGAGTTAATCAGGTCAAAATCAAGTTGATTTTATTTTGATATGAACCCGACATGATTTTTTTTGTATTTAAGCGTGTTGACCCGTTTTAACTCATTAGCTCGTTTAATTTTGTGTTCGACCTATTAATTTTGTATTCGGTTCGTGTCGTTTTAACGTGTCATGTCGAAAATTGACAGCCCTATGTATTATAATCCTAATGAGGGAGACATAAGAAATCCAGCCTTGTTTTTTTTAGTAAGAATTAACNACCCGACATGATTTTTTTTGTATTTAAGCGTGTTGACCCGTTTTAACTCATTAGCTCGTTTAATTTTGTGTTCGACCTATTAATTTTGTATTCGGTTCGTGTCGTTTTAACGTGTCATGTCGAAAATTGACAGCCCTATGTATTATAATCCTACTGAGGGAGACATAAGAAATCCAGCCTTGTTTTTTTTAGTAAGAATTAATTACTTGAATTCTTGGTTTGAAGGATCTTGAGAAAATTAAATGTAATTGATAGAGGTAACAATCTTAACCCATTAATTCATTTAATTTGTCCATAAATAAATAGGTTGAATACTTATATTAATCAATGTACGTTCTAAATGAGATAGATAATATAATTTATTTTAATTAAACGAGTTAAGATGAATTACAAATTAATATCTATTGAGTTGAGTATTTATCTTTCTATTCAAGTAATAAAATTAAATAAAGATATTAATATACCAAAAAATACACGCACACACTAACACGACCCGACCCGTGGACCAACCCATGACCCATGGGTCGACTTGATTCATTATGGGTGTGTTTTTGGTTTTTTATTAAATGTGTGTTTTTTGTGTGTTAGTATGTGTGTGTATTATTAGTGTATTAGTGTGTGTATTTTAATGTATTAGTGTGTCTATTTTTAATATAGTAATATGTGTTCATATTAAGAATTTTAATTATTTTACAGATTAATGAGTTTAATCCAACCTGTTATGATTCAACCCATTGTAACCCGTTTATAAACGGGTTGAAAATAGATTGGATTTGTTTTATACCCAATTCATATTAAATCAACCCATAACCGATCCAACCCGCACATTTATCATCTCTAGTGACCAACTTAGTTGGTTGACATGAGCTATTTAAGAATAAAACTTGTTGCAATGCAGTTTATTGGGTATGAGAAAAGATAANACGAGTTAAGATGAATTACAAATTAATATCTATTGAGTTGAGTATTTATCTTTCTATTCAAGTAATAAAATTAAATAAAGATACTAATATACCAAAAAATACATGCACACACTAACACGACCTGACCCGAGGACCAACCCAGNAATTACAAATTAATATCTATTGAGTTGAGTATTTATCTTTCTATTCAAGTAATAAAATTAAATAAAGATATTAATATACCAAAAAATACACGCACACACTAACACGACCCGACCCGTGGACCAACCCATGACCCATGGGTCGACTTGATTCATTATGGGTGTGTTTTTGGTTTTTTATTAAATGTGTGTTTTTTGTGTGTTAGTATGTGTGTGTATTATTAGTGTATTAGTGTGTGTATTTTAATGTATTAGTGTGTCTATTTTTAATATAGTAATATGTGTTCATATTAAGAATTTTAATTATTTTACANTAGTATGTGTGTGTATTATTAGTGTATTAGTGTGTGTATTTTAATGTATTAGTGTGTGTATTTTTAATATAGTAATATGTGTTCATATTAAGAATTTTAATTATTTTACAGATTAATGAGTTTAATCCAACCTGTTATGATTCAACCCATTGTAACCCGTTTATAAACGGGTTGAAAATAGATTGGATTTGTTTTATACCCAATTCATATTAAATCAACCCATAACCGATCCAACCCGCACATTTATCATCTCTAGTGACCAAATTAGTTGGTTGACATGAGCTATTTAAGAATAAAACTTGTTGCAATGCAGTTTATTGGGTATGAGAAAAGATAGTCCTTGATAGTAGTAAATTCTGGATTTGCATGCTTACGATTTGCGGATAATTATGCATAGGTTTGGCAATATAAGCTCGATTCAATTATTTGATGTAAAATTGATATGAAATTAGGGAGTTTAAATTTAATCTTACTGCATTCTGAGTGTTAACCCACCAAGTAAATGAGTTAGATAACAATCTAGATAGACATAACATGTATTCTGTTGAAACTAGTTTTAGGAGGAAAATCACACTTAATTCAATATGCAAGGTGGCTTTATATAGCCATACAGAAGGTAACCGAGAAGCAAATACAATGATAACAGAAAAGCAAATTCAATGCTATAAACGTGGGTCATAGCCAAGGAACGGGTCAGTTCCCTGATTTCCAAGGATTATTAATAATAGAAAGCTGAAGTACTAAGTCAACACCTAAGCTATGGTGACATTCCCTCCCTTAAACTGATGACACTGTCTTCAGTTTACTCCTAGATCCTGACAAACACCCAGCAACATGCGCAGCTTCTCAAAAACAACTCGTGTCAAGGGTTTGGTCATGATATCAGCCAATTGATCTTGAGAACGACAATGCAACGACATCACAACTCCATCTTGAGTCAGATTACGAAGGAAAAGGAAACGTACATCAATATGTTTGCTTCGACCATGCATGACAGGATTTCTTGAGAGTTTAATAGTAGAACTATTATCACAGTACATCACCATAGCTCCGGTAAAAGGCATGATTGAGCTTTTCTAACATTCTTCGCAGCCACACGGCCTGACAAACACAGGAG